CTGGCTCAGGTCACACAACTCCAAACAGCAAGAGGCCTGGCCTCCTTACTTCCCTCAGGTCTATTGAAATGTCACCTTAATTACCCGGGTGTGGTAGTGCATGCCTGAAGTGGGACTTGAGGCGGGAGGATTGCTTAAGCCCAGTAGTTCAAGGCTGCAGTGAGCTATGATTGCACCACTGTGCTCCAGCCTGGATGACAAAGCCAGACGCTGTCTCTAAGAAAAAATAATAAATAAATAAACAAACAAACACGCAAATGTCACCTATTACAGAGGCTTCCTCTGAATACCTATATAAACTAGCACTGGCCAAGTGTGGTAGCTCACTCCTGTAATCCAAGCACTTTGGGAGGCGGAGGCAGAAGGATCACTTTAGCCCAGGAGTTCGAGACCAGCCTGGGTAACACAGACCCTCATCTCTGCAAAAATTAAAAAATAAACAAACAAAAACTTTCTAGCCACTCAGGAGGTTGAGGCAGGAGGATCATTTGAGCCCAAGAGATCAAGGCTGCAGTAAGCTATGATTTCGCCACCAAACTCCAGCCTGGGCGACAGAATAAGATCTTGTCTCTATAAAAATAACAGTAATACAAATAAAAATTAAGAAATAAACTAATTCTGACTTCCCCCACTCACCCTCCAGTTACCCTCTAATAACCCTTCCCAGTCTCATCTCCCTTCAGGGCACGCAGGATCCCTGGCTGTACTGTCTCAAATTATCCCACCAGATTGTAAGCCCCAGAGGTCATCTGTTGTGCCTGGCCACTGCTGTATCTCAGAACCAGAACAGTTCGTGACACCCAGTAGGTGCTCAATAGAGATGGATGGATGGAAGGAAGGAAGGGAGGGAGGGAGGGAGGGAGGGAGGGAGGGAGGGAAGGAGGGAAGGAGGGAAGGAAAAGTGGGAAAGAAGGGAGAGCGGGAGAAAAGGAAGGGGTGGGGGGAAGGCAGAAGGGAGGGAAGGAAAGAAGCTGTCCTCCTACCTGGGGCAGGCCTGGGCTGGGAGAGAGGAAATCTTTGACTGTATAGTCTGAAGTTTTGACTATCTTTGCTCTTCTAAATTATTAAAATCAAATTGTTTCATAACTTAAGGTGATTGGAAACATTTTCTTTTTTTAAATCTGAGAGTATCAACTCATGGGAACTGCTCATATTTCACCCAAGGCACCAGAAGCACCAGCCCAGGAAAGTCACAGACAGCAGGGACAAAAGACAAAACTGTTTTTTTGGGTACACCATGAGTCCTGCCTCGTTCAGTGTGCTGGCTCCACAGGTATGGGTGCAACTCCACCTTTATTATACAAGTCGCAGCACACTGTCCACCGTCCACTGTGTTTGCTACCTTTCTTTCCTACCTAACATTCTTGGAGCTCATTCTCTGTATGTACACAGATGCTTCCTCATTCCTGTTTTTTTGTTTTATTTTGAGACAGAGTCTCACTCTGTACCCCAGGCTGGAGTGCAGTGGCACAATCATAGCTCACTACAGCTTGGGCTCCCAAGCTCAAGCCATCCTCCTGGCTCAGCCTCCTGAGTAGCTGGGACGACTCACATGCCGTCATGCCCAGCCAATTTTTTATAGACATGAGGTCTCACTACATGGCCCAGGCTAGTCTTGAACTCCTGAGCTCAAGTGATCCTCCTGCCATGTCCCCAAAGTGCTGGGATCACAGGCATGAGCCACTGGGCCCTGTCCCTCATTCCTATTTATGGCTGAACAGTTTCTACTGTATGTATGGATCCTAATATACTTAACCAATCTCCTATTTATGGACATTTAAATTATTTCCAGTCTTTGTTCATAAACAATGCTGCAGTGAACAACCTTTTTCTTATGTCATTGTGTGCCAGGATATTTGTAAGATAAAGCCCTAGCAGCAGAATTATTGCATCAAAGGGGATTTTGATAGTGATCATCAAACTCCCCCAAGCAATATACAAAAATGCCTGTATCCCTCACCAACTGAGTATGGTATCAGACCTTTCAATCTCTGCCAATCTGCTAGGTAAAAATGGAATCTCAGTTTCGTTTTAGTCCCCATTTCTCCTATTATGAGTGGGGCTGAAAATCCATTAAAATACATTTAAAAGAGAAGCAATTCACCCACAATCCCCCTACAGCTGACTTTAATTTCCTCATTCTCTTAGGTTTACTGCTCATATTCAAGCATTTTTCATTTTAATCAGAAAAGGCATAGTTTTCATCAGCAAAGACAGAGAAGTTAATGTTTTGCTCTTTCATTTAATTGCTTTCTCCAGCAAACATTTGCGCAACTACTAGTCAGGATGAGCTGGTTATAATGCAGTAACAAACCACACCAATAGCTCAGTGACTCCTGTCAGGCTGTATTTCTTGTTTATGCTGCATGTCCCTTGGCTGTATCTCTCTCCATGTCACCCGGCTCCAGGGCCCAGACTGGAGCCCCCTCTGCAGAGGTTAAGAGTATAAGCTTTGTGCTGGTGCAGCTGTTAGTTTCCACTCAGGAGTGACATATATCACATTCGTTCCCATTTCGTTTAGATACAGCAAGTATCTAAATGATAAAGTTAGTTTAAAGATAAAGTTAGTTTATGGCCACAACTAACTTTAAGACCTGGGAGAGTGGCCTGGTGTCGTGGCTTGCGCCTGTAATCCCCGTATTTTGGGAGCTGAGGTGGGCGGATCACCTGAGGTCAGGAGCTCGAGACCAGCCTGGCCAAAGTGATGAAGCCCCGTCTCTACTAAAAATACAAAAAATTAGCTGGGCGTGGTGGCTCATGCCTATAATTCCAGCTATGTGGGAGGCTGAGGCAGGAGCATCACTTGATCACACTACGGCACCCCAGCCTGGGCGACAGAGTGAGACTCCATCTCCTTTTTTGTTTTTTTGAGACCAAGTTTTGCTCTTGTTGCCCAAGCCAGAGTGCGATGGCGTGATCTCGGCTCACTGCAACCTCTGCCTCCCGGGTTCAAGCGATTCTCCTGCTTCATCCTCCTGAGTAGCTGGGATTACAGGCATGCGCCACCACATTTGGCTCATTTTTTGTATCTATGTAGAAATGGGGTTTCACCATGTTAGCCAGGCTGGTCTCGAACTCCTGACTTCAGATGATCTGCCTGCCTCGGCCTCCCAAAGTGCTGGGATTACAGTCCTGGCCACCATGCCCAGCCAGACTCCATCTCAAAAAAAAAAAAAAAAAAAAAGAGTTGGGGAATTGGGGAAATGCAACAGGAGAAGAAGCAAATATTTGGTGGCCAGTACCAGTGGCTGGCATATTGAGCATTAAGTCTGTGCCAGGCTCTCTCGGCTCAGTCCTGTGAAGAGAGCGATGAATTAGATGTGGTCCCTACCTTTAACATTTGCCATGATCAGGGGGATCTTCCTGAAGGAAGCACAGAACAGTCACTTTTAATGGCTCCAGAATATCCTCTCAATATAACAGGCCATAATTTGCTTAATAATTTCCCAAATATTGTATATTCTGGATAATTTTACTTTTTCTTTTTCTCTTTCTTTCAATAATAAAACAACATTGCACATCATCACATCAAAAAGAAATAAACATTGAGGACTAAATTTAACAAAAGTAGTGCACGGCTTGCACAATGAAATCTACAAAATGTATCATAGATCTGTGTGTTCTGCTCAATCCTGAGCAAACTCCCAGCAGATCGTATTTTACAGAAATTAACAAGCTGATCCTAAAATGTACATGAAAATGCAAAGTACCCTAAATAACCAAAGAAATTCTATTCCTTAAAAAGTTAAACTGAGTTACCATATGACCCAGCATTTTCACTTCTAGGAATCTACCCCAGAGATCTGAAAATATATATCCACACAAAGATTGAACACAAATGTCCAGTGCAGCATTTTTCATAATGGCCCACAATGCAAACAACCCACACATCCATCAACTTATGAATAAAGAAATAAAATGTGGTATACATGTCTAATATTGTTTGGTCATAAAAGGAATGAAGTATTGATACATACTACATCATGGGTGAACCTCAGAAATATTATACTCGGTGAAAAGATTCAGATGCAAAAAAAACACATATTATAAGATTTCGTTCATAGAATATGTCCAGAAGAGGCAAATCTATAAGACACAGAGTAGATTAGTGGTTGCCCCAAGATGGTGGAGGTAGGGGTGGGAATGGCATGAGGGAATCTCTACGGGATGACTGAAGATTCTAAAATCAGATTGTGGGCCAGGCATGGCTCACATCTAGAATTCCAACACTTTGGAAGGTTGAGGCCGGTGGATCACCTGAGGTCAGGAGTTCAAGACCAGCCTGGCCAACATGGTAAAACCCCATCTCTACTAAAAGAATAAAAAATTAGCTGGGTGTGGTGGCAGGCACCTGTAATCCCAGCTACTCCAAGAGGCTGAGACAAGAGAATTGCTTGAACCCAGGAGACAGAGGTTGCAGTGAGCCGAGACCATGCCATTGCACTCCGACTGGAACAAAAAGAGCAAAACTCCATCACAATAAATAAACGAATAAATAAATAAATAAAATTAGATTGTGGTAATGGTTGCACAACTCTGTAAATTTACTAAAAGTCATCGCAATATACCCTTTTAAAAGAGGTGAACTTTATGGTATGTAAGTTGTGCTCTAAAGAAACTGTTTAAACAAGAACATGGGAGGCTGAGGCAAGAGGATTGCTTAAGCCAGAAGTTGGAGACCAGCCTGGGCAAGATGGTGAGACACAGTCTCTACAAAAAAATATTAGCCATGCATGGTATTATGTGCCTTTAGTCCCAGCTGCTGAGGTTGAGGTGGGAGGTTCACTTGCACCCGGGAATTCAAGACAGCGTGAGTTTATAGTAGCACCACTACACTCCAGCCTGGGCAACAAAGCGAGACCCCTGTCTCTAACAAATAAGTAAATAAATAAAGATAACATAGCATCTCATTACCAGGAAATGAAAAAAATAATAATATAAAAATTAACATGGCAATTGACATCATCAAACTACAAATTTTAAAACTTTTATTTCCTCACTATACAAAAGAGATCATTGTTTGGACTTCACTGCCTGACTTCCTGAAGCTGCCCAGAGTTTGTTACAGGCTTTGGGCTCAGGATTGTTCAATTTTCCTGCTTGGAACTGAGAGGAGAACTCAGGTCTTCTTACAGACTGCCGAAGGCCGGCAGGGCTCTTTTAGAACAGTCATTTCACAGCTAGAGAAACCAAGGCCCAGAGAAACAAAAGGCCTTGCCAAGGCCACACAGGCATTTGGCAGCAATTTCACTGGCACCCAGCACACATGGGAGCCAGTTCTTGAACCAGCCTCTTGAGTTTTTTGCCAGAGCCCCTTGAACTCCTCTGGACACTCCTGTCCCCAGCTTGAGATGCTACTATAGCTTTTCTTGCTCAGGGGAGAAATAAAATGTGATCCTAAAATCCCTTTGGTATCTACAAGACTCTCCTCTTGTAGATACCAAAAATTCCCATCCTGTTTGCTATCAAAACATTCATCTTCTATGCAGCCTGAAGCTTCACCTGCTTCGCTCTGAAGTAACTGTGGGGAGAAGGTTGTGAAGTCTATAATGCTTGAATTCCAGCTTCATGATTTCCCCACCATGCTGGTTCCCCAGCGTTGGTACCATGAAGGAGGAAGAGTCAGAGATCTTTGCAGAGAAGAACTTCTTCCAGTGTGGTTGTAGTTGGCATTGCTGCCTCTGGGTACTGAAGGTACCCAAACGTTGATTCTGTCTTCATGGGATGCTTCTCTGGCTTCCCAGGAAAACTCCCACCAGGGACCTTGCCCTGTATTCCCCAGGCAGGGTGGCGGCATTCTCTGGCCGATCCCTGTGACCCCTGCCCATAGACTTTTACCACCTTCTCCATTCACCTGCCCTGGGAGGAAACCCCCTTGTGTAGGGTCCTTTTCAGAAGGCTCACAGTTGCCTTCCTTCCTGATGTCCCACTTGCCATGCCCAAAAGCAGTTTTCTTTTCTTTTTTTTTTTTCTTTTGAGACGGAGTTTTGCTCTTGTTACCCAGACTGGAGTGCAATGGAGCGATCTCGGCTCACCGCAACCTCTGCCTCCTGGGTTCAGGCAATTCTCCTGCCTCAGCCTCCTGAATAGCTGGGACTACAGGCATGAGCCACCATGCCCAGCTAATTTTTTATATTTTTAGTAGAGACGGGGTTTCACCATGTTGACCAGGATGGTCTCGATCTCTTGACCTCGTGATCTACCTGCCTCGGCCTCCCAAAGTGCTGGGATTATAGGCGTGAGCCACCGCGCCTGGCCCCAAAAACAGTTTTCTATCATCAAGGTAAGAGCGGTCTACTCCCAGAGCAACTGGTCTGTGAGCTGCTGGGCCCTCTACATAGCCAGTGTCTCTGTCCTTACAACAAACAGCAAGGTAGGCATTTTCATTCCTGCTACCTCCTCTTCACAGACGAGTAAACTGAGGCTCAGACACAGCAAGCAGAATTGGCTGGTATTCGAATCCAAGTCTGCCTGACCCTAAAGCCTTTTTCTATCTCCCACATCAAGGATCCTCTTGGCCAGACTCTGCATCAATCTCAAGGTCTTGCCATCATCAACAGCTAATATTTATTTATTTATTTTGAGACAGAGTCTCATTCTGTCGCCAGGGCTGGAGTGCAGTGGTGCAATCTCAGCTCACTGTAACCTCTGCCTCCCGGGTTCAAGCAATTCTCCTGCCTCAGCCTCCAGAGTAGCTGGGACTACAGATGTGCACTACCACAACCGGCTAATTTTTGTATTTTTAGTAGAGATGGGGTTTCATCATGTTGGCCAAGATGTTCTCTATCTCCTGACCTTGTGATCCAACTGCCTCAGCCTCCCAAAGTGATGGGATTACAGGCATGAGCCATCACGCCCAGCCCCCAACAGCAAATATTTATTAAGTACCTAGTGATTGTGAGATAGGTCAGACGAGGTAATCAAGGCAGACTGGAGGCCCAGGGCTAGGCAAAGGTCAGGAACAAAGTGGAGACAAGATTGCTCAGCAGAAATTTGTACTGGGACCCAGGCCCATGAGTCCAGGAAGTAAATCTGGAAGAAAAAAAAAATCACCAGGTCATCTGCAACCCAGGGCCTAAGGGACAGGAGGTGAATGGGTGCTTCATCAAGGCTAAAACAGTGGTTCTCAAACTTTGCTGAAAATGGAATCATCCAGGGATATTTAAAAAACACCAACATCCGGCCCCTGCCCCCAGACATTCTGATCTTGTTGGTATGGGAAGCAACACAGGCATCTGGATTTTTAAATGTGTAGGAAAGCTCAGGCAGGAACAGGGTGTGGGGAGGAGGTCTGATAGGAGGAGGTAGTGATGACCTGGCCTCTGGAAGCCTGAGGCTCTAGGGCAGGGAGGTCAGGGTACTGGGCTGGTGTAAAGTACCCTGATATGAATTGGGTAAGGATGGGGAAAGGGCAAAAGGTACAAGAAGGGAGATATGAATTGGAGGACAGTTCTTATCTGGACAGTCCTGGAGGGGGTTCCCAGGAAGGACTCCTTAGTGGGAGATAAGCCCCCTACCATCCACAGTCCAGCCATGCGCACATGCTGCCATGTCGCCTCTCCACACTCCATGTGCTGCTCTCTTTGTCTGGAACATCCCCACTGCTTTTATTTACCTGCTCAACTCCTGCTTCTCATCTGGGACTCAGCTCAGGTGTCAACTCCCCCAGGCAGCCCTCCTTGACTGGTTCCCACCACACTGGTCTAACTTGGATGCTCTTTCCTGTACTTCTGTTGGTCCCTCCGATTATCCTACCAGACCCATTACACTGTGACACCTGTTACTTGCCTGTCTCCCTTGAGAGGTGTGTGTCTTGTTCTATGACTTGTCTATATTCCCAGCACTCAGCATAGAGAAAGCTTCTTAAAAAGTGGGATTGAGGAGCGCAGTGGCTCATGCCTGTAATCTCAGCACTTTGAGAGGGCAAGGCAGGCAGATCATCTGAGCTCAGGAGTTAGAGACCAGCCTGACCAACATGGAGAAACCCCTAAAAATACAAAATTATCCAGGCGTGGCACTGCGCATGCCTGTAATCCCAGCTACTTGAGAGGCTGACGCAGGATAATTGCTTAAACCCAGGAGGTGGAGGTTGTGCTGAGCTGAGATCACGCCATTAAACTCCAGCCTGGGCAACAAGGGCAAAACTCCGTTTCAGAAAAAAAAGAAAGAAAGAAAAAAAGGTAGGATGGAGAAATGAAGGGTGGTAGGCATTCATCTTCATTCGGGTACCTAGACCACAGGAATGAACAAGACACTTTGTCCCTGTCTAAAGAAAGGAGAAAGGGGAAATCAGGAAATGGTTTCAATGACATAACAAAAATGGGTACAGGAATGGGGCCAAGAGGTTGTCCAGGAGCCTGCACATTCACCCGTAGTTACGAGAAGTTTACCCCTCAATCCCGAAGCTGTCCTCTGTGGCTTAACAGGCAAATCGGTGATGGTGAAACAAAGTAGGAAATGGAGTACAAGGGCTACCTGGCATCTTAGATAGCTATATGAACATGCAGCTTACAAATAAGAGGAATACATAGGTGGGGAGCTGTCTGGACACCTCAGTAAAGTTTTAATACGGTATAATAATGTTCTCCATAGGTGAGGCGTGGTTGCTCACGCCTGTAATCCCAGCACTTCAGGAGGCCAAGGTGGGTGGATCATGAGGTCAGGAATTCGGGACCAGCCTGGCCAGCATGGTGAAACCCCATCTCTACTAAAAATACAAAAAATCATCCAGGCGTGGCGGTGGGCACCTGTAATCCCAGCTACTTGGGAGGCTGAGACAGAAGAATCACTTGAACCTGGGAGGTGGAGGTTGCAGTGAGCTGAGATCACAGCATTGCACTCCAGCCCAGACAACAGTGTGAGACTCTGTCTCAAAAAATACAAATAATGTCCTTTATATCAGAGGTACGGAAGAAAAGGAAGAAAATGGGGAAAATGAGAACGTAGCATCTTTGTGGGGGATTTTGAAAAAATCTAGACAATAAAGATTTTTTTTTTTTAAAGAGGTTGCCTGGGGATGGAAGGGGGTCAGTTAATTTCTGGAGTCAGAAAGCCCTGGGTTTAAATCTAGCACAACCACTGGTTAATTGTATGACTAGGACTGCTTTCTTAACCTTCCTGTAACATGAGGATAATAACACCACCTCCCTCAGAGGTAGAACACAGCACAGCGCTTGGCTCATAGAAAACACTGGAGAGATATGTTGACCATTTTGATTTGCTAAGATCATGAGTGGGTGAGGAGGGCAGTGGGAATAGACATGTCACATGTGACCACTATCACCTGTTCATGCCTCAAACCCCACCACTCTTGGGATTAAATGAAATGCAGATGCCCAGAAGTCGGGGCTGGCTTCCTGATGATAGCAGAAGGCAAACTCCTCAAGGGCAGGGACCTTTACTTTATTTGCTGCTAAAATCGCGGCACCTAGGATAGTGCCTGGTGCATAGTAGGTTCCCAGTAAATATTTCTTGAATGAATAAATGACTGAAATCTGGTTTGGCTAGCTCGGTGTATAGGGGTAACCTCCCTCTCCTTCTCTAGACCTAGGTCCCTCCTCCAAAAATCTTGAACTCAACATAATTCCATTAGCTATAACTTCATTCAGCAGCAAGCAATGAAAAGCCACAATGGGCCAGGTGTGGTGGCTCAAAAACAGTAGCTTAAACAAGTAAAATGATTAACTTGCCCAGACTGGTATATCAGCTCAATGATATTGTCAAGGACCCAGGATCTACGCATCTCCCTGTCCCAGCCATCATGTGACTTTTACCCTCAGCATAACAAGATAGCTGCTGTACTTCTATGTATCACATCTCTGTTTCAGGAAAAAGAAGGATGGGATAAGAGCAAAAGGTACAAGAAGGAGCCAGACAGGTGAGTACTTAACAACAACAACACCATACTTTTCAGGTTCTGTTATAAGGGAGGAGAGACTCAGTCCTGGGAGAGCAGCCAGCAAGATCTGCCATGACGGCTAAATGAAACCACTGTTCCCCCACACCTACTCTTTCTCTAGGCTTCTTTGTTTGAGTAGATGGCACCTCCCTTCACTCAGCTCCCCAAGTGAAAAGCCCAGGAGTCATCCCTCACTCCGTGCCCATATCCAGTCCATCAGCTCCTGTTAGCTTCACCATGACCTAGATCCTGAATCTGACCATGACCCTCCACCTTACCATCTAAGCCATTCTCATCTCTCTCCCTTCTGCACTCCAGCTCTCCTTACCATCCATTCTCCTCCTGGTGGCTGAAGAATTCTTTGCATACCTAATCTGATCACATCACTCTCCCCATAAAGCCCTTCAAAGCTTTGCATCATGTAGACTATAACCAAATCCTCACCCTGGCCCCAGGCTGCACAGCTGGACCCTGAGCACCTCCTTGCGTGGGGTCCCCCTTGCCCACCCCATCCTCCAGCCTTGGCATTAGCAGTTCCCTTTGCCAGGAACACACTGCCTAGTAGTCATTGTCTGTTATGTCACATTTTTCATCTTCACAGCATCCATCCTAATCCCTTTTATAGTCTGTCTCCTCTTCCAAGATGTCAACAAGGGAAGAGACCTTGTCTGCCTTGTTCACTGATGTATCCTCAGGCTCTAACACTGCCTGGCAAGTAGGAGGACTGAATGCATATTTAGTCAATGAATAAATGAATGGACAGGCTTGTTTTGCGTGGTCTCTTAGGGAACCTTCTAGCTGTTGGAGATCTAAAGAGAAAGGAGAAGAAGGAGATTGGGTTAGGGAAGGCAATACCTGAGGTATGTCAGAAACTGGAACCAACATCCCAACCTTCTTCCCTGATTGCCCAAGAAATCCTGCTAGGTGAGCATATCTGGGGGCCAAGTCAGAGACCATTTGATAAAAACTAGAAGGAAGAAGTGAGCACAGGCACCACCATAATGATTCCCATGAATTCAGGCCAGAATGGGACACAGCTATCTGGAAAATAGCATTGAGAGAGCAGACTGCTGGGTCTGCCTCTAATTAGCAATGGATAAGTAACCTAACCCTCTCTGAACCTCAGTTTCCTCATCTATAAAAATGGGATAAAAAGAAGAGTATTTACTTCACAAGGTTGTTTTAAGGATTCAGTAAGGGCCGGGCATGGTGGCTCATGCTTGCAATCCCAGCACTTTGAGAGGCCGAGGTAGCTGGATCACCTGAGGTCAGGAGTTCGAGATTAACCTGACCAACATGGTGAAGGTCCATCTCTACTAAAATACAAAAATTAGCCAGGCGTGGTGGCAGGCTCCTGTAATCCCAGCTACTCAGGAGCCTGAGGCAGAAGAATCACTTGAATCCAGGAGGTGGAGATTGCGGTGAACCAAGATCATGCCACTGCACTCCAGCATGGACAACAAGAGCAAAACTCCATTCCCCCACAAAAAAGGAATTTAATAAGATGCATTATTTAAAATACCTATACAATGCACAGCAAATCGTAAGACCTCAAACAACTTCAGTCATGTAAAAGAAAGAAAAGAGAGACAGGAGGGAGTGAGAAATGATGAAGCCAGGTAACATAGAAGCAGATGTCCCAGTCCCCTGGGGGCAGCCCACTCAGATGTGCTGGGAGTTTGGACCTCCTAGAAAAGACACAGAAATGCAAGGCATCTGGACTTTAGCTTCCCCTTCTCGAAATGGACTTTTGAGTTCTGGTCCAACCCCTTCAATTTTACAAATGTTCTGCATCTTGGAAAGAAAGGCCAAAGATCCAGAGAGTAAGCAGAGTCAAGTACAGAAAGAAGGCCAGTGGGGACAGTGTTGCTGAGGTGGGTGGGTGCAGCGGGCTGTGAGCCCCCCGCTCTCATTCTGGGGGAAAGAGTCTGCCTTCCTCTGCCCCCACCACCCACAATGAGGGGAAATGGCAGGCTGGGAAGACCCATGAAGCTGGCAGGAGGAATACTGGCAGGGAGGAACCAGTGTTTCATTAAACTCAGCACTGGGCTCAATACTCATGCAGCCTTCAAGGTAATTTCTGCAGTTTACAGATGAGGGTGTGGGTGCCCAAGGCCCCTGTAGAGCTCTTGGAGCCAGAACCAGAATGCCATTCTGTGTTACTCTAAAAATCTGTGCCCCTTCTTATGCTCACTGAAGTCTGAAAAAAATTTTTAAATTAAAATTAAAAATAAATTAGGCCGGGCACTGTGACTGACGCCTGTAATCCCAGCACTTTGGGAGGCCAAGGAGGAAGAATCACCTGAGGTCAGGAGTTCGAGATCAGCTTGGCCAACATGGCAAAGCCTTGTCACTACTAAAAACACAAAAATTAGCTGGGCATCATGGTGGGGTGCCTGCAATCCCAGCTACTCAGGAGGCTGAGGCAGGAGAGGTTGCCTGCAATCCCAGCTACTCAGGAGGCTGAGGCAGGAGAGGTTGCCTGCAATCCCAGCTACCCAAGAGGCTGAGGCAGCAGAGCCGAGATGGTGCCACTGCATTCTAGCCTGGGTGACAGAGCAAGGTTCCATCTCAAAAAAATAAATAAAATAAAATAAAATCTCTGCCCTGCTTCTGCCTAGGAACTACAAGGCCTGTATTTGAGACCATCACTAACTGGTTGCAACCTTGAATCAGTCCTTTCTCTCTGGCCCCAGATTCCTTCTTTAAACAAGAAGGGTAGATTCCACCACAGTGGAGCCGCTGATGGTCCTTCCAGCTGGAGCTGAGATTCCTGGGATTCTAAACAACGCTGAGTCAGAAGGAAAGCCTGCTGGGCCTCTAAACAAAACAGCCCCGGGGCCTCTCATCCAGCCTTCCTGTCCCAGGCACACAGGACAGCACTGCCCCAGGCTGTGCAGTGCCTGGCTAGCTGCCCTTCAAGGGTGGTGTCTGTCTGCCCGGTTTTCTAGCCTGGGAGGGAGCCTGGCCTCAGCCCACACCATTCTCTGGGGCCTAACTCCACTCCGTGATTTGGGGAAAAAAAGCCAAGCACTGGACTCAAGCGCCTCAATTAGGGGCCCAATTCTTCCCCACAGGTTACCATTTAGGCCAGTGCTTCTCAAATCAACTTTTAAAAAAGTTTAATCTGCTGCAAACTTATACTTCAGTAAAATTTTAAAAGTATATACTACATAATACTAGTGGTTACAAAATATTGTGAAAGCCCTTACTGCTACTAAATTGTACACTTAAAAATGGCTAAGATAGGCTGGGCACAGTGGCTCACACCTGTAATCCTTGCACTTTGGGAGACCAAGGCGGGTGGATCACCTGAGGTCGGGAGTTCAAGACCAGCCTGACCAACATACAGAAATCCCATCTCTACTAAAAATACAAAATTAGCCAGGTGTGGTGACTCATGCCGGTAATCCCAGCTACTCGGGAGGTGGAGGCAGGAGAATTGCTTGAACCTGAGAGGTGGAGGTTGCAGTGAGCCAAGATTATACCATTGCACTCCAGCCTGGGCAACAAGAGCAGAACTCTGTCACACACACACAAAAAAGGCTAAAATAGTACATTTATATTATCTATATTTTACCACAATAATTTAAATAGAAAAAAAGAAATGGAAAATGAGGCAAAATTCTACCCTTAGCTTCATTTTAATAGCATTCAACAAGACCTTGTAAAATTGTTATAAAAGTTTCTAAATGCTTACTTTCAACTTTTGTACTTATCTCGCTGCAGACTAGTAAAAGTTTGTGTACTGGCAGCAATCGAACTGCTAGTACACTTTGATAGCACCAATTTGAGCTGCTAAGAGGGACTCTGGGTTTGCAGGGCCTCTCAGGAGACCTTCCAAGGCCACAAGTTCCCTGCACTGCGACTCCCTCCTGCAGGCACTTCTGAACACCAAACCAGTTACTCTCAAACAGCCCAGGCCAGGTGAGACCTGTCATGTCAGGGTCACCACCTGAGACGTTGATCATCACCTATGGAGGTCTGTCCTGAAGACCCTGACTCAACGATGGATGAATAAAATGCACTCACATACACCAGAATACAGTGAATCTGAGTGGGCTAGGGATGGTCATCAGCTGCTCTCACAGGGCGATTGCAGCTAACCAACCAGATTCCCTGTCCTCCTCACATTTATTCAGTATAGATTTAATAAGAGAGGTTGTAAGTCAACACGCTTGTGGATAACTAACATGGTTAAAAGAGTTGTTTTATGAATGATAAAAGGTCCTGATACTGGGGCCCAGAAAAAACACCATTAATAGGAAATTCACCTTTGACCTCCCCTGAGAAGACCATTCGGCACAAAGTTTACATGAGTAAACAGAGTAGGGACAAAGGAATGTGAGGTAAACAGACTTAACTGGACAAGTTTTTATTATTCTAATCTTCACCCTATGACTTAAAGTTCTAACGTAATGAACTGGCTGCCTTCAGTTCATTCCATTAAAATCTGTCAGCTTTCCAAAAGGTTTGAGACTATAATCTTCTAACTTTCCCTAATATTTCCCTAGTATTTTGCAGCCACCCCAAGTGAATCCCAGCAGCCAGACACACTGGTCTGATGTATGGCTGATGCCTCCTTATGCCCCAGTCTGTCCCTGAGGGTCTTCTTGATGTGCACTGTTATTTTTTATTTATTTTTTTGAGACACATTCTTGCTCTTATTGTCCAGGCTGTAGTGCAATGGCATGATCTCGGCTCACTGCAATCTCTGCCTCCTGGGTTCAAGTGATTCTCCTTCCTCAGCCTCCCAAGTAGCTGGGATTACAGACAGGCACCCACCACCATGCCCAGCGTTTTGTATTTTTAGTAGAGATGGGTTTCACCATTGTTGGCCAGGCTGGTCTCAAAATTCTGACTTCCAGTGATCTGCCCACCTCAACCTCCCAAAGTGCTAGGATGACAGGTGTGAACCACTGTGCCTGGCCAATGTGCACTGTTATTAAAGTGTCCCTATCAGTGGCCAGGAGAATGGTGGTGCCCCTGATAACCACAGGGAGTCATGGGGTGGGACATGGGGTAGGGTGGCCTGCACTGGGGAGGTAAAGGGTAGAGAGGTGCCTTCTTTGCTTCTACTCCCTAAACCAAACTTGGCCCAAGCATTATCTCCTACAGAAAGTCATCCTGGGCCTGCAATCTGAGAAGCCCCTGTGTCCCACAGCAGAGGACAGGTCTCCCTGTATTTGTACTGAATGGGTGACATGGTAAATTAAGAAGTGGTGCCTGCTCCTGAGAAGATGAGGGGATGTGATGTGTGCCTTGGTTCTAGGGTATGAGTGGATTTCAGGCCCCGCAGCTCCTTGGCAAGATCCCCTGTGCAGGGTACGGTCTGCACCCTGTGAGCAGGGGCTGTGATGGGTGCAGCTGCAGGGACTGGAGAGATAGCACTGGTGTTTAGGATGTTGCATCCTGAGTAGAGAGGTCTCTGCCTAGATGAGCAGCAAGAGAAAACATTGTTGGCTTAAAAAAAATCACGGCCAGACGTGGTGACTCATGCCTGTAATCCCAGCACTCTGGGAGGTTGAGAGTGGTGGATTGCTTGAGCTCAGGAGTTCAAGACCAGCCTGGGCATCATGGTGAAACCTCAGCTCTACAAAAAATACAAAAATTAGCTGGCCATGGTGGCACACACCTGTAGTCCAAGCTACTCTGGAAACTGAGGTGGGAGGATTGCTTGAGCCAAGGAGGTTGAGGCTGCAGTGAACTGTCTTCACTGCACTCCAGCTTGGGTGACATAGAGACCCTGTCTGAAAAAATAAATTCTAGTTACTAGGGCTCCAATTTTATTTACTTTTTTTTTATTTTTTAAAGACTGGGTTTCACCATATTGGTCAGGCTAGTCTCAAACTCCTGACCTCAGGTGATCTGCCCACCTCAGTCTCCCAAAGTGCTGGGATTACAGGCGTAAACCACCACACCCGGCTATTTACCTTTTTTTTTTTTTAATTATTTATTTATTTAGAGACAGAGTCTCACTATGTCTCTAAATAAATAAGGCTGGTCTCCAGCTCCTGGGCTCAAGTGATCCTCCTGCCTTGGCTTCCCAAAGTTCTGGGATTATAGGTGTGAGCCACCACACCCAGCCACAGGCTGGCTCCAGTTTTAGAAATTCTACCTCCAAAGGTCTGATGAGGGTCCCGAGTCTCATATTTGAAAAAGTACCACGTGATCGTGATCCTGATACCCCACTGGTATCTGGCCCATAGAGGTGCCAGTGAGTGTTTGGTGACTGGGTTTAAAGGTACAGCACATCTCTGGAAGAAGACACAGGCGGCAGCGAGGTGACCTGGTGTAGGGGATTGATCAGAGTGGTGAGGAAAAGCTATAGGGAAAGGATGCAAACCTTCTGAAAGTTTGGAAGGTTTTGCAGAGCCCCGGGGAAGAATAGCTGAAGGCAGCTGTTCTATAACCACGAGACAGAGGGCAAGGAGTGTAGGGGAATTTATCTTAAACAGGCTCACTTACATTGACCACAAATCGACCTTTGATCATCCCATGTGTGTAATGTTCCCTAAAAGGAGATCAGTAAATGTTAATTACCTGCAGGTTGTGTGTTAATTACCTGCAGGCTCCAGGTCTCTGGCATTGTGCCTGCACTGAATAAAAAGCAATCAGTTCCAGCTTCTTAGGGCTGCTTTCTGGCCACTAGAGCCAGGCAGTCCCGTAGCTGCTCTTATGTTGCATACCTGTCTCTGAGTACTCATTTCATCCGTTGGCCAGGGTCTGCGGGACAGATCCGGTAACCTGGGAGAGAGGGAGATTCACTTTTATTATACATCCTTTTGTGCTGATTCGACTTTTGATCTAAAAAAAGGTTTGGCTGACTTGGAGTGATGGAGTTGCTGTTCTCTGTGTCAGGGACTGCAAACGTTGGGCCTCCAGCAGGGGCAGAGCGGATCCAGCGAAAGACAGAGGTGGGTGGGCCCGAGAGGGATGGAGAGCTGCAGAGCACAAGTACTGCCTCGAGGGGGCAGCAGCTGCCGGGAGTCCGCTGAAGGCAGCTGGGTGGGGATTGCGAGCCCAGGGTTGCCAGATCTACTGGCTTTTTTCAAGATAAGCCTGAAATCAGATTTTCACATGGAATTGTCAGCTAATTCAACAATTTAAAACACGGCATGGGCCGAACACAACATGGCTATGGTTCAATGGTGGCTGCAGGCCACCAGTTTGTGTGTTCGGATCCAGGAGGATTCCATTAAGGATTGTGCACCTCAGAGCCATCTGCAAAGCTATTGCAGAGCCATCATTTGCGTCTAGAAAATCGGATTGGCTCCACATGGCGTCCGCACAGGATGAGGACAAAGCCAGTGTCCCGGGATGGACAGGGGGAGTCACCCACCCACTCATCATTATTTAATCCAACATGCATTTATTAACCTCCCACCACGAGCCAGGAGATCCAGTGGTGAATGTGACAGGTGGAGTCCCTGCTCTCCAGGACCCTAAGTTCTAGCTGGGGAGACACTTGAATTAATGAGTAACATTTGTGACACATGAGTTGCAGTACAGCATGGGGGTTAAAAGTCTGGGTTTCAGTCCTGACTCCACTGCTTGCTAGTTGTCATTTTAGGCAAATCCCCTAATCTAGGTCCAGTCGCCTCACTTTTCACCTGTGGCATGGCCATGATAACCTCATAGGGTTGTTGTGGGGATTCATTGAGACAATGCAAATCATAATTAGCTGCTGCTATTAAGTAGAGAGCTGTTAGAACAGGGAATTGGGGAGCCTAGGTTTAGCATGGGGACCCCCCGATCCCAGTGAATACTGGGGCTTTTTGCCAGTAAGGGGAACAGGAGGCTTGGAAGCTCCAGGCCCAGCAGAGGCTCAGTCTTCTTCTGCTGAGATGGCTACAATGAGGCAGCTGGCTCGTTTCCTGTCCGTCTGTTCTTCCTATGGATCCAATTTCAGCAGTCCAGTTGCCTCAGTAGGATTTGGTGCTCAAGGACTGGGAAGGTACTACTCTGCTCTTGGCCATGATGGAGGAAGGCCAGTCCTTTCCAGCTATGAACCAGATCCCCTCCATGAAGCTGCTGCATTTTGGAGCTCATGAAACCCTACAACTAAGTTTTAAAAATCTAAGTGCATGTACAAAACAAGTTAGAAACCCTTTCCTATGCCCTTAAGTACAGAATATCAGCTTCTGTTGGCAGAGGCCTAAGCCACAGGGACATTTTGGACCTTCATTTCACCTGGGCCAAAAAGGAGGCAAATGTGAAGAGACTTGGCTCATCAGCAATGTGTCTGGGGCCTTGGAGTTCAGCTCTGTGTGTATCATCTCTCTCTGATCTCAGGGGGTCCGCAATCCAATCCTGCAGAAAATCACAGTCTTGGATTTGGAAGGAAACTTCTAGGGCATCTAGTCCAACCTCCACCCAAAAGGGGGAGCTTTTCTATAAGAAACTTGGCCTTGCTTGGCACGATGGCTCACGTCTGTAATCCCAGCACTTTGGGAGGCTGAGGTAGGTGGATCACGAGGTTGAGTTTGAAACCAGCCTGGCCAACATGGTGAAACCCCATCTCCACTAATAATACAAAAATTAGCTGGGCGTAGTGGTGCATGCCTGTAATGCCAGCTACTCAGGAGGCTGACGCAGGAGAATCGCTTGAACCCAGGAGGCAGAGGTTGCAGTGACCTAAGATCCTGCCACTGCACTCCAGCCTGAGCAACAGAGCAAGACTGTCTCAAAAGAAAAAAAAAAAACAACTTGGTCTTCATCTTCTGTATTCCTAAATGAACCACATTTAACAGTGATTCAAACAACTGAATTAGCAGTAAGGTAGCCAAACTGTCATCTGGGTGCATAGGTTTAATGGAAGAGCAAAAACATCGCTGGAAATCAGAATTCTCCACTGGGAGAATGATACAGCTCCTTTTATAAAGGAGCACCTTTATAAAAGTGCTGAGGGTGGCGGATGAGACCTCACGCATGCAAGGATAACCAGAGGCCCTGACTTTCTAAGGAGGTAGGACCAGCTGAATGTAGTGCTTTCATTTGCTTGCTGAGTCTGGTGAGCAGGTCTGAGCAGAGGGGAATTGTTCCCAGCAACTAGGGAACGCTGAGCTGCAAGAGCAGCCACTCTCCCTGTGTAGGGCCTACAGCAGGACTGCCTGGGTAAGCTTCTCTTACTAGCTTAGGACGTTGGGCACATTACATTACCTTCCTAAGCCTGTTCACGTCTCTGAATGGTGGAGACAATGAACATCATGCCTGGACATTAAGTGCTTGGTAAGTAGTGGCACCACCGTTTTTCCAAGTGGAGTGGTTTTTTTCTCCTGCAGCTACCCACGTTTAGCAACACATGTCCCAGTTCCTCAGTGCAGCGTCAGTCACATGGATCACTCCAGAGCCCAGCAGCCCCTCCCACCTCATCCCTGCACGGCCTCAACAGCCACCATAAATGTGGGCAGCTATGTCTGTAGGGTAGCCACTCTCCAGTCAATGCACCCGGCCTGAACTTTCTCTTCCTTAAAGTGGCTTTGTTGCTGACCACTGTAGTCTCTACGTTTGAAAGCCTTTAAAGAGCCTCCACTGTTTAAAGAAATGGGGAGGGGGCCTGCCTGGAGAGCCTGCCACAAGCCATTAACTATGGCAGGTTCTCTCTGCATGCCACAATCACAGGCTTACCAAATGTTCAACAATGAAGTGCTTTATTGGGGTCTGGCTTGGAAGGTTCATCTGACTTCCCAAAGGACAAACTCAAGTCCTTTCTCCTCTCAAAGCTTCCCAGACCACAAAGCCCTCTGTGGTCACTCCTTTCATCAAAGTACTAGAGCACCCTGGTGAGTAAAAGTATGTGGTGGAGACACCCTCAGGTGAGCAAGTGTTCCAACAGCTCTCCTCCTCATGTAGTGTGGAGCACATTCTCTCCTCATGTAGTGTGGAGAACATTTGACAAATGAGGCTTGTCAAATGTTCAAACCTCTTTCCATGAGGCCAGTCAACCATAAGGCTCAAGTACAAAAACCGCAGGAAGGGACAAGCCTCATTTTCCATTCAAGATAAAAGGAATGTAGTCTGCTCCTTGGTGACAGCCCTGATTGCTTGTCAAACCACTCCGACCTTATGAGGCCAACATATTGGAAGTGCTCCCGGGAGAGGCTGACTCCACTGGGACAGATGCAGACTCCTGCAATGGCAGAAAGAACACCAGGCCTGGGAAATCGTGCCAAGAGACACTCCCCAAAGCTTGTAGGTACCAAAACTCCTCCTCGTCACTTCAAGCCAGACACAATGAATGTTGAAGTGGAAGTTACTTAATTGATCTCCCCTAACTGTCTCATTTTATCCAGGAGAAAATGGGGGCCCAGGACTAAGTGCTTCTCCAAAGGTCAAGGTGAAATAGAAAAGCCAGAGCTTCTGTTTCTGTGTTAAGATGTATCCCCTTCAGTTTCCTGTGACTTAAGCTAATAATACAAACATCACAAGGGAGGGGCTAAGAATTGCCCTCTGATAGAAGTCAAGGCCACCGTGGGATTGGTGGTAACTGACGGGGCATCCTTTTAGGCCTATGTTGATCCTTCCCTTGCTTTCTCCTGAGGTCAGTTTCACTCCCTAAATGTCCTAGATGAACAAAAGCTTACTGCCACTGCTAGGACACCTCATATCATTATGCCAAGTTTCTACCCTCAGGCCCTCTTTATATTCCCATCTACTCAGACCTGATATTTTAAAGATTGCAGGGAACCTACAATGTGCAAGAGATGGGAGCCAAGATGAACAGTGCTGCACCACTGCACACAAGCCTCATCCTGTCTTCTTGGTTTAGACATTGCTCAGAACCTATGTTGTACTCAACTACACATGCACTTGTTTCTATTTGCCCTACATGGCCATAACTCTTTAAACCAAGCTTTGTTCAGAATTCCTGATAGATCATTTAAGTAAATTTAGAACTGCGTAATCATTTCCAACTCAAGAATGTAAACTTAGATCACTCATTAATCTTTGGTTGAAAACATTAATCATGACTTATATGGAGTGCTAAATACATATGTTCTAAGCGTGCCCTCTCACTGCAAACTCATTTAATCCTAACAATCTCAGGAGGTAAATTGAGGTAGGATGTTATTGTTCTCTCAAGTTTGGTAAAACCCCAATCAGGGCCGGGCGCGGTGGCTCAAGCCTGTAATCCCAGCACTTTGGGAGGCCCAGGCGAGTGAATCACAAGGTCAAGAGATGGAGACCATCCTGGTCAACATGGTGAAACCCCGTCTCTACTAAAAATACAAAAAATTAGCTGGGCATGGTGGTGCGTGCCTGTAATCCCAGCTACTCAGGAGGCTGAGGCAGGAGAATTGCCTGAACCCAGGAGGCGGAGGTTGCGGTGAGCCAAGATCGCGCCATTGTACTCCAGCCTGGGTAACAACGACGAAACTCCGTCTCCAAAAAAAAAAAAAAAAAAAACCCCAATCAAAATACAGCCCAGGCTACAGAGGCACATGCATTAGCAACACGTGGACCCTACCGCAGTATTAGCAGTCATCTTTTGCTGTAAGTGCTTGGCTTCCAAGAGTTGTTATACAGACATCTAAGAGGCACAAAATATTTATAATTAGGCTATTTCCCAAATAGCATAGGAAAGCTGCCAAAGGCTTTCCCTGAATTGAGAGGCAATGCACTGACAATGGGGACCATTAGAGCCTCTGGATACAAGATGATGTTATCTGCCAACCTTAACCACCCGACTCAAATGCTACTCTAAAATGTAGCTTCCCTTTAATCATTTCACAGGAGTTACTACAGCAGCACAGAAAATTTTATTAATATTCTGATTCTTGCATCACAGCTGTTAGGGCAGGAAAGGATGAGGATACACACCACCTGTATCGAAGAGCAAGCAAACCACCAACTGGGATCTTGAAATTCTCTCTAAACTGTTCTTTAGAAACATGCTTGTGCCTTTAATCTGCCTTTTAAAAGGGACACAGAACAGAAAATGCTTGTTTGCAAATAAACATCTGAAAGAATATAGTAACAGCTGACCTGGGCTGAGGCATCCAAACAAAGCGGTCATTGTGGAAGGAGACAATGCAAACCACACTGGGGCAAGAAACTGAGGGCAGAGAACGTGCAGTCATTTGTGCGTTGGGTATTTCCACCAGCTCCAAGGCCCCGTTGGAACAAGTATCAACCAGGAGGGTCTCTACAGCTTGATAATTTATTAACCTAACTCAAAAAAAGTCACTGCCACCAACAGCACTGTGCAGTTTTATTAACCATTCAAGTCCAGTAGCATCTGGTAAGATTGGGACAGAATTGGGATTGAAAAGTGAACAGATATTTAGCATCTAACAGTTCAAAAGAAGCCACTACGTACTCTTTTCACAAATATGTTTTCACAGAGCCAATACAGTACTAGCCATTAACCCAGTACACCAAGTGTACTGAAGTAGAAAAGATGCAACAAGAAAAATAGCTACATCAGAAAGACCAACACTTTAGAAAAAAACACTTTCAGTTTCTCCCCTTTAGCCCCTAAAACAACATCTTACAGTTTGGATCTACCTATACAGTCCTACATTAGCTTCTAAAATATTTGTCAGGAGGGAAAAAATAAAATGACACTGGCCAGTACAGTCTTTGGATATTTAGGAAGGGGATGGGGAGAAAGTCAGTTCTCAGAGCAAATTAGTCAGCTTCAGTCTCGTCAGCAGGATCTTTGGATTCTTTGTTCTTCCGCACTTCTTCAATGTGCTTATCCTGTAAAGGAACGGTAAGGTGCCATCAGTCAAAAAAAAAAAAAAGCCTGTCAACTCACAACCCCCAACCCCCACCTCAAAGAGGCCCAACACAACCTTGGTGCATATATTACAGCCTGTGGGAACCACAAAATTTGAGTTCTGAGACATCATCTTCTAATCTCCTGGGTCCCTTGTAGAATTTAACAACCAAGCCGCCTACTGGTCTTCCAAGGACTGTGCAATTATGCTGGGAATTACTGAATATTCCATCTTAAAATACACCTTTCATTTAACATGCTAAGTCCCAAAATGGATGACAAAAAGACACCAAACACGTTTTATCAAGGCACTCAGTTCAATCTAACTCATTGGAGCATCAAACTCCAAGCTCTTAACCCTTTCTTTTGGGCGAGAAACCAACCTTCTCTCGCAAACGCTCCAGTTTGGCAGCCATTTGTGCCTCTCGGTTCTCTTTGTTAGCTTCCATTTTGTGGGTCAGTTTCTCTTCTGCCATTTTACTGAAGTTGTTGTTCTCTTCTATTGCCTTCTGAAGCACTTCTTTCTCATGCTCTCGTTTCTCAGCAAGCTGCTTCAAGACCTCAGCTTCATGGGACTGGAAAAAAAGTTTAACAGGCTAGGCACTCTAAAATGTATTCAGGCTGGGTACAGTGGCTCACACCTGTAATCCCAGCACTTTGGGAGGCTGAGGTAGGTGGATCATTTGAGGTCAGGAGTTCGAGACCAACCTGGCCAAACATGGTGAAACCCCACCTCTACTAAAAATATAAAAATTAGCTGGGCATGGTGGCAGGCACCTGTAGTTCCAGCTACTTGGGAGGTTGAGGCAGGAGAACTCCTTCAGCCGGGAGGTGGAGGCTGCAGTGAGCCAAGATTGCACCACTGCACTCCAGCCTGGGTGACACAGCAAGACTCTATCTCAAAAAATAAAATGTATTCAGCATTAGTTAAAATTACAATACAAATTATTTATTACAGGGACTGAAAGGTAGAAAATAAGGTCCCTTTAAATAATACTGAAGTTAGGACCTGAATTATCCCTATTATAAAATACTATGAAAATGCTATTTTTTTCTAGTATTTACTTTGGAAAACTGCTCTTATTTGTTCAGAAATCTCTTACCCAATTAGTTCTTAAGAAAATCTTTATTAAGATTTACTGTTTAATGGTATCTGGATGACTTGAGGAATATGCACTCGGGAGTGGCACTTTGATTGTAAAGAATTTGACTATTTAAGGGCCAGGCGCTGTGGCTCACGCCTGTAATCCCAGCACTTTGGGAGGCTGAGGCGGGTGGATCACTTGAGGTCAGGAGTTTGAGACCAGCCTGACCAATGTGGTGAAACCCTGTCTCAAAAACAAACAAACAAAAAAAGATTTTGACTATTTAACTTCAAAAGCTACCCAAAGAAAACCAGCTCATTGTGAAAATTTTAACCATAACTGACAAAAAAAAAAAAAAGATAGAAAATTTAAGACTAAGCCTCCACATTACTATTTAAGACAGAAGGATTTGTTTCAAGGAAAAGCCTTATTAGCTTGTCTTAGGAAACTGCATTAATTACCAGACTATACCTTGGTATGCCACCTTTAAAAGAACAGTGTTTTCTCAAAACATTCAAATGTGTTTGGAACCAATGACTTGCAGGATAACCACAGAGCATCTGCCACTGGTTCTATTGATTCTCTTCTGCCAAACCCTAGTCATGATGGGAGTTTCACTATATTTAGCCAGTTACTATGTAAAGCACAGGCCAATGACTACAGGGGCCAGGGTTATTGTCTTAAAAACTTTCCATTGTCCAACCTTTCGTTATATTGCTTCTCCCTACTCCATGAACTCAGACTATTACATAGAAGCGCAGACGACGACTCCTTAGTGTAAACACTGCTGCTCTTCGGGCAGACAGGTGTATGTGTGTGTACCACAAATCACACTATGCTGGTTTGGGGCAGGTTATTACCTTACCTTTTGTGCCTTACTTGCCCCAGCTTTAAAATCAATCCAGTCAGGGTTGTTGGGAAAGGGAGTTACATGAAAACTTATGTACAGTTCTTAAAAGAGTAAAATAATGTTGAATGGAAAGAAATACACCAAAATGGTAACGCTGGTGACTTCTGGTAAGTGGAATAATGAATGCTTTTAATTTCCATTCACAAATTTCTGTATTTTCCAAATTTTCTACAACTAGCATATTAGTATTTGTTGATTCTTCTGATTTGCCTTTAAAGATACTACTTTATAGCGTAGATAAAAGTTGCCATGATACCAGTTGAGCAACACAATCACACTAGCAATTTTCAAAGTTTTTATTGTACAGCTCTCAAAAAACAAAGCCAAAGTGCCAAAGAATCATCTGCCAATAAATCTTTTCAAAGAGGAAGCATGAAAGAAGCATGAGCTTCGGTTTAAGACAGACCAGGGCTTGAAATCTGACCCCAACACTTCCTAGTTGTATGAATTCAGAAAAACGATTTAACATTCCTGAAACTGTTTCTAATTTCCATTATCTGGGTTAACACCAACTCTGTAGGGTCAACATATTAAAGGAGAAAAATACAAGCAAAGGAGCTGGCATGTAACAGGAATTCAATAAATGATGGCTGGTATTTCCTTCCAATAACTGGCATAGGTAATAATCACAGTACAGCTACAATTCTGTTTTCTTGCTGTTATAGAAATAAAATTTATTTGCCCATCATATAAATTAATATCCTGCTTTCTGTGAATTGCTATGTTTACCTTGCGTCTTTCTTCTGCAGCTTCTAATTTCTTCTGAATTTCCTCCAGGGAAAGATCCTTCTTTTTTGGAGGGGAAAGGGGGAATTCCGGAACAGATTCCTTTGACCGAGGGCTGAGAATCAGCTCAAAAGCCTGGCCTGAGGCACGCTTCTCCAGTTCTTTCACCTGGATATCTAGAATTGATTATATTTATAATTCAGAAAACTAGGATTCTCCTATTCTAATACACTGTTCTATAATTTCCTAAAAACCAAATCAATTTTCAGCAGCCCGTGATTCTTGGCTTTAAAAAAAAAATGAACAAAAAAACAAATCAATTTAATGTATAGAACTAGGGCTACTGAGGAAAATTGTGGGTTCTTTCCCCCCTTTTTATTTCTATCAGCCTACTGACACTACAGAAGATGTGTTTGCAGGAAAGATATTATTATCTAAATACCATTTCCCGGGGCCAGGTACCATGGCTCATGCCTGTAATCCCAGCATTCTGGGAGGCCAACATGGGAAGATACTTTGAGTCCCAGCGTTTGAGACCAGTCTGGGCAACAAAGGGAGAGCCCATCTCCACAAAAAAAAAAAAAAAAATTAATTAACTGGGTCTGGTGGCCCCTGCCTATAGTCCCAGATGCTATGGGGCCTGAGGTGGGAGAATTGCTTGAGCCCACTTGAGCTCCAGAGGTCAAGGCTGCAGTGAGCTATGATTGAGCCACTGCACTCCAGCCTGGACAACAGAGTGAGACTCTTGTCTTGAAATAAATAAACAAATAAATAAAACCATCTCCCAGAAAAACAAAGCTCAAGATTTTTGGATTAATAAATACTGTTTTAAGACATCAGTATCTGACAATCGCTTTCACAAACAAAGGACTTGTGCAAACTCCACAATTTTGCTTCTGACCAAGCCAAACTGTCTAATAATGAAACAATTATGAGGTCTTGGCATATTCAAGTGATAATCATTTTTTAAAATTCTCCTATTCATAAAATAGGTTTTTGGTAAGACCAAAATATAAGTGCCAAATCAAAGGTGTAAGACCTTATGCCTAAATCATAGGCCCATCACAATTTCAGCTTTTCCAAATAAATTACCTACCAGAAGAAGCCATGGTGAATAGAAGACAAGCGAGCTGCACAATCAACTGGGATAAGGAAAGTCCTGAAAATGATTTGCAAAAAGCAATCACTTTCTTTGCCTTTCTACATGTCATCAACATAAAAGACATTTCAAATCACATCTACATACGTCGTCAGAAAAATCACTATGTGGAATAAAGACGTCATTAACCACGAAAAAAATTATCAAAATCTACAAAATAAACGTACTGGGAAATATGACCTGAATATGATATTGGTGGCAGAAAATCAACTTAACTGAGCTTGCCCGTTCATAAAACTCTTGGATTTTTAAAATCAAAAGAAGTCACAAGGCTGAAGGATTTTTCTCCCCATAAACTCTTTAAAATTCCCCGAAACTGTAAGAAGATATTCCAGATTCAACTCAACAGTGCCCCCGGAGCCATCTTAATACTGCCTACAACTCATTGTGCAAATGAAATACCCACCCCTGCTTTGTCTGTGTCTGACGTGGTGGATAACAAAACGCCCAAGCTAATATTAACCAATAATGTTGAATTCCTATTGTCCCTCAGGTTTACGCTTCTTTGCCCAACAGCAAGCAAAATGATTATGAACCTCTAGGTTTTAAGTTACAATATTTGGTGCTGTTATGTCATGAAAAATGCTGTATCTCTTGTTGATCTTTTTAAGATTGTGATTTTTGTAGACTCCAGCTAGTACCAAAAACGCAGGATGACAGGTTCCCAAAAACTAGAAATTAAAATCGGAAGCAGCGATAAGATTAAGGCAAAGCAGAGCCTTAGATGCAGCACCCGACCCAGGATGGGCGTGGCCCTGGTCCAGGCGAGGAAAAGCGGACCGGTCGCCCCCGGCCAATAAGAGCACGCCCTGCACTCCGGCCCCTGGCCCCGCCCCTTCCTCCCCGCGCCTTTTCGAATCTCCCAGAACCCTGAACACCCCAGAGCCCGCGCGCGTGGGAAGGGGAGGGGTGGGCGGGGCTAACGGTCCAATCCGGGTAACCGTGCCCCTGCCTGACTCCCCCGGCACGGATGCCCCCCCCCAACTCCCGCCAAAAGCACCTCCAAGCCGCCGCCACCACCCCCGTCACAGATGAGAAGGTGGAGCAGGCCACGGGAATGGGCCCCAGGGTGGCCGGGTCGTGGACTCGCCACCGCCTCCCGCCGTCCCCAACTCCAACCTGCCGTCACCCAAGCTGTCCGCGCGTCCGGCCGCGAAGACAGAAGAGCACCCGCCGGGCCCGGGAACGCCACCTCTCAGTCACCAGGTGCGGTCGCCAGGGGACGGTCGCCGGGAAGGTCGCGGCCCTGGCCGCCCGCAGTTTGGCTCTAAAGCCGCTGGTCCCCGGGGCCGCCGCCCCGTCCCTACAGACAATGGGGACCCCGGCGGGGCCCGCAGGGGAGGGAGAGGCAAACAGGGGCCCACGCCCCCTATTGTCTCCTCGACGGCACCCCGAAGCAGACGCCGGGAGCTCGCCCAGCCCCCTGCCCACGAACAGCCGCGCCCCCAGACAGCGGGGACAAAGGCGAGGCTCCGCCCGAGCCACACACAAAGCGGAGCGACCCCCGCCCACCAGCCCCTCCGGGGCCTGCAGCCCCGCCCGCCACCCTGTAGCAGGGGGTCGCTGCCACTGCCCGGCCCCTCCCGCCGACCGCGTCCCTCTCACCGGCCGCAGCCAGCCGCCGCCTCCTCCCGAGCCCCGCACCCACCTGCTCAGTCCGAGCCGCCTGACCACACTCTGAGCACCAACAGACCCGGGCGCGCACAAAAGCGCCAAACAGTGGCACGTGACCTCCCCGCGGGGCTCCGCATTGGCCGAGAGCAGCGGCACGTGCCGCCCCGCCCCCACAGCTCTCGTGGAGCCCCGCCCCCTGGGACCCCGAAGCACGTCGGGAAGTGTAGTCTCGGCCGGCAGGGTAGAAGGACAATGCTGAGGGTTGCGGGGCGCCTAGGGAGCATCGCCAGGTGTGAGCCTGGGGCTGGGGGGTGGTCTCGCTGTGGAGGAGGGCGTGGCAGTGGACCCCGTACTGGGTCTGAACCAGCTCTCCCATGTCCAGAACAAGGGCGTGGCTGAGCGTGGTAAGAGGGGGGTCCTTCCCTACCTTTCCGACGTTGCCTGCCTTAACTCCGCCTCGTAGAGCCACGTGCCCGCCTCGCCCCAAGGGCAGCACTCGGACAGAGCAGTGTCCCTTCTAGTGCCCCACCCACTTGGGTGCCTAAGAGGCACGAGCCCCTGTGACAGCACAATGCCACTCTACGCTCTGCAGGGCCCCCTGCCTCCCGCGCCCCTCACCGACATCGGTATGTCACCCGTATTGTGACATCATCGTAATTTCTACCCCACTCAGCCCACAGGTCGTGGGCGTGACCCTTCCCTCACTGTGTGCGTTCTTGCCAGCATCCTCAGGTTCCCGAGCCGGTGACCAGTTAACCTGTGCGAGAAAGCATGAGGCCTTGGAATTTGATCGTCTTTGGTCTAACAAAGCCACTCAGCTTAAATGCAGACTCCATCTGTTCTGCCAAGCCTTTGGATGATAGGGGAGGAAGAGCAATAGCCGTTCTAGACTACACAGATTGCAGTTAAGTGTTGCTTTTGTTCTTAGAGCACGTGCTCCCCGGAGCAGCCCTGGGCTCTTTTTAAAAATCAAAAAAGGAGGCACAAAGTCACTGTTCCCCCTGACCTGGATAGCTCAGAACCTTAGCAAAGGCACAAAGGAAATTGGTCAAACCGTGGCTTAGAATAACTGACCCTTTCTCCCACAAGAAGAGGAAAAAAATAAATGAAATGTAAGGGTGCTTGGGTGGTGGTCAATACATCAAGGCACCTGCTTTGAGATCCCGACTAAGCAGAAGAGACATCTTTATTTTATTAACGGGCTTTGTCTTCCCAAATCAAGAAATAAATGTGCCCAACCTCCCTGAAACAACTGTCCTAATTTAGAAAGACTTCCATGCCTAGTTAGTCACTAGGGATGTGCCAGAGATAAAATACAACTAATAGGTGCCGGAGACAATGAAAACTGGATCATACAAGCAGCAGACACACTACACAAAGCAAACAATTAGCAATGCACTGTTGCCTGAAATATGCTTGTCGTGGCATTTTTTCCAACAATCGCCCTTGTGTGGGGTCAGCCTCCCGCCTCAAGCCAATCTAAGTGGTTTTCACTTAGCCTGTGAGCAGGACCAGGGATAATTCAGATACTGAGCCTTGAAAGGCTTCTCCTTCTCAGACCAAACTTAGCTTCAAAATGGCTAGGTGCTTCCATCTGTCATTTTTCTGAACAAAATCTCAGAAATCATTAGAAAAGTTGGAGAGGGACAGGGAAGAGACCCTGCGGGAAAGCAACAGATAGGCAGGCAACACAAATGAGCAAGGAACCCAAGCCCAAGAGGTCCTTACCTACTGAACAGGCTTTTTATCTTGAAGTCTTTGTATTTGATCTGGAGGTTCACAGAGGAAGGTTCCACTCATTTAATGCATTTTTTTAAATATGAGAAATTGCCACACAAAAATCTCACATTCCTATTAATGTTGTGACAGAAAAAAGAAATACATCTTTCAAAACACTGATTATTTTAAAGCACTTACGCTGTTCCCCCCCACCACCACCTTTTCTTTCTCCCTAGAGCAGATGTCTATTTCCATGGAAACCATAGCAAGGAACATAGATGTTAGAACTCATGTCGATTTTTAATCTTTTTTAGCAATGCCACTTGGCTTCTGGGTTTATTCGGAGATACCTGGTCCTGCCAGTCTGTGACGTTGACCTGAGCTCTTCACAGCTGCTTGAGGACTAAGAGGGCTGGGATAAGGTTTTCCCTAGAATGAGCCTGTGAATAAAAAGATGCTTTTGAGGTGGGATGATTCCTGCCATTTTATTATTATTATTTGATTTAAAAACAAATTGAGACAGGGTCTTACTGTGTTGCCCAGGTTGGCTTCAAACTTCTGGGCTCAAGTGATCCTCTTGTCTCAGCCTCCCAAAGTGCTGGGATTACAGGCATGAGCCAACACACCCAGCGTGATCCCTGTTCTTTAGGGTGGGGCTGCCTTCCTGAGAGCCAGATCACAGCTCATTATTGTCAGCTTTTGTGGGTGTCCTATATGAGCCATGGAACAGGAAGGGCTTTCAACTGTAAGGAGAAACAACAGCTTTGCCACTTCACCTTGGAGAGGGGCAGAATCTCCCTTCTCAAAAGCTTCCTGAACAAACTTCAAGATCCACTCTCTTCTGAAGTGGCAATAAGGAGTTAATGTTCACATCTCGGAACTGTCTGTCTTTGCCCATGAGAATTATTTTTGCCTCTGCTCAGATGGTTTGGTTGGATTGTTATGGAGCTGGCTGTGACTATGGATGCACACAACGAAGTGGAGATACGGCAGGCATCCAGCTTATTTGATCTGTGTAGACAGCTAAAGGAGAACACTTCAGTCTTCAAAGCCCAGAAGGAATGTCTATACTGATCAAATGGCCAGCCTGGGTGTTGTCAGATCACCTCTCCTGCCAGAGAGCCCAGCAGCCTTTGTTCATTGTTGGGCTTGAGGCTTCGGGGTTTGTCTCCCACAAGGCGCCTCGAAGTTCCACGGCCGCTTGCAAGACCTGTCCTTGGCCAAAGGGTGTCGTGGGAGAGGTTTGCTTGTTGTCCCCAGTCTCTCTGTTCCCTTTGTCCCCTAATCCTCAAGCACTGTGCTCGAACACTTCCTTCTCTGTTCAAAACCTGTGAGTCTGCCATTTTACACGTCCATCTCCCTCACTAGACCATTAGGTCCTAGAGGGCAGGGTGCTGTCTTTGTTTTGGTATTCCTAGTGCAGTGCCCAGCCTCGGGCCTGGCCCAGGATGGTGGCACCTGATGTTTGCAGAGAACTTCGGGAAAGAACAACCTCTCTCATCCTTCTGTGATCTTCTGTCTCTTCTGTGACATTAGACACCTGCACTCTATGAGAGTGGTAAGGATTAAATGAAATAATGTAAATGAAAACACGTAGCACAATGCCTGGCACATTTAAAGTGTTGAGCACTTGTTCGGTATCATTGCTAGAGTTGTTTCCTGATTGCTACAGATTACTGAATGAATAATTATCAGACTTTCATCCTTTGATGGAAATTGTAGTCACTGGGTTAACTCATCCCATGGGGTTAAATTCAATTCATTTAACACTTTAAATAGGTAACACATTCATATGGTTTAAAAATAAAGTATAAGGGCTGGGCATGGTGGCTCACGCCTGTAATCCTAGCACTTTGGGAGGCCGAGGCAGGTGGATAATGAGGTTGGGAGTTCAAGACCAGCCTGACCAAGACAGTGAACTCCGTCTCTACTAAAAATACAAAAATTAGCTGGGCATGATGGCAGGCACCTATAATGCCAGCTACTTGGGAGGCTGAAGCAGAGAATTGCTTGAACCCGGAAGGCTGAGGTTGCAGTAAGCTGAGATCGGGCCATTGCATTCCAGCCTGGGTGACAGAGTGTGACTCTGTCTTTAAAAAAAAAAAACTAATAAAGTATAAGAAGTCTTCCTCCCTTCTCTATCCCTATCTTCCAAATTCTCTACCAACCACACCCCCACCATAATCTCTGTTAACCAGTTTCCTGTGTATCCAGGAGTTTCTTCATGTGTACACAAGCAAACTTGTAGGTATACATTAATATCCCCATCCTTTTATACAAATGATAGCCTCCTATAACTGTCTGCTTTCCAGTTTTCACTTAACAATACATGTCAGAGTCTGGGTGTGGTAGGTCACACCTGTAATCCCAGCACTTTGGGAGGTCGGGCAGATTGCCTGAGGCCAGTAGTTTGAGACCAGCCTATGCTCCATAGCAAGAACTTGTCTCTACAAATAAATTTTAAAATACAAATAAATAAATAAAATTAGCTGGGCATGGTGGCATGGACCTGTAGTCCTAGCTAAAGTGGGGGACCACCTGCAGTGAGCCATGATCACCCCACAATAATGCAGCCTGGGTGACAGAGTGAGACCTTGTCTCTTTTTTCTGTTTTTTTTTCCAGACAGAGTCTCACTCTGTCATCCAGGCTGGAGTGCAGCAGCACGATCTTAACTCACTATAGCATCGGCCACCTAGGTTCAAGCTATTCTCCTGCCTCAGCCTCATGAGTAATTCGAATTACAGACACATGCTATCGTGCCTGGCTAATGTTTTGTATTTTTAGTGGAGATGGGGTTTCACCATGTTGGCCAGGCTGACTTTGAACTCCTGACCCCAAGTGATCTGCCTTGACCTCCCAAAGTGCTGGGATTATAGATGTAAGCCACCACACCTGGCCAGAGACCCGTTCTCTCTCTCTCTCTCTCTCTCTCTCTCTCTTTTTGAGACAGTCTCGCACTGTTGCCCAGGCTGGAGTGCTGTGGCGCAATCTTGGCTCACTGCAACCTCTGCCTCCTGGGTTCAAGTGATTCTCCTGCCTCAGCCTCCTTAGTAGCTGGGATTACAGATGCCTGCCACCACGCCTGGTTAATTTTTTGCATTTTTAGTAGAAATGGTTGAAATGACTATGTTGGTCAGGCTGGTCGTAAACTCCTGACCTTGTGATCCACCCACCTCAGCCTCCCAAAGTGCCGGAATTATAGACGTGAGCCACCCCCTCCAGCCGAGACCCTGTCTTCTAAACAAACAAACAAACAAAACCATGTCAGGGATCTTTTCCCTGTTCATACACCAGGCATTTCTTTGATCTGGTGTCCATGGTATGAATATTCCAAGATGCAGTTAACCATGGCTCTATCCATGGCTCTTAGGTTACTTCCAATTATTTGGAATAGCTCACCATGCTGTAATGAATGACCTAGTTCATAGGACATTTCCCAAGGGTATGAGTATATCTGCAAAACATATTCCTAGAAATGGTATTTCAGGGCTAAAAGGCAAGCACATTTGTAATTTGGATAGCGCCAAATTGCCTTCCACGTTGTATGAATTCAACACTCACCATGTGGCGCTTTAATTCATTATCTCAACTCATTCAAAAATGATTTGAAAGGCTTTGTCCCTAGAAATTTCAGGCATTAGAGAAGAGGGGGAGGAATAGAAATCCTAAGA